ATCACCCTAGCAGCAGATTAATAAATAAGGATTAAATAGTGTATTTTTTACAAATCCACAGAGAATGGCTGCGTTAAAAAATAAAGACACAAACACAACTTCCTGGGAACCTCTGCTGAGGATTCCCTGACACAGGGATATTTTGGCGGCATGAGAGAGAACCCATACAGGCCTCACAGAGGAGAAATTAATTTCTACTGGGTCCTGCCCCACAGGCATCCCCCCTTTCCTTATTTTGCTGTTGACCTCAATTCCCAGTATCAAAAAGTAGGCATTGTCAGAAGATGATGAAATCAGCAGCCCAAGCTATTGAACCTGAGCATGAAGAAATCAGGTCCCAAATCATACGGCACTTTGACTGTATCTGAGGTTTTCCAACATCCATGCTTCTGTAGGCCTAACAAATAGAAGGGACTGATGATCTCACAGCTTTTATTAAGCCAACGACATAACCAACCACATAGTGGCAAGGAAGAGAACAGCTGCTTCCCAGCTGCAAGACACATGCAATGTTTGGCTCTTGATCCTAAAAACAGAGTCTGTTCGGACATCAACCGGGAACGTGAACGCTGAGGAAGAAGAGGAGAGAAAAGGATGCCAGAGCATGACTTGGACAGGGTTTCCATGAAGAGTGGCTTCCTTATGCAACATATTGCTTGGCTCACAGTTCAAGTCGATTTACGGTTGCCTAGTAACTGTTCTCATGGCCTGCCAAAATGTAGAGATTGCTGTGTGCAGTTGGATTATCAGTCGGCCTGCTTTCCAGCACCACCACCCTATGGGGCAAGCACAGAATGGGTAAGTCAGCAGTTGTTGCAGACATCCCGGATGCTGTTCCTTGAATATTTGCTACTGGGTCACTTCTAACCTGCCAATTGCCTTCCCGCCGATCTTGGCACCCATATTTTCTTAGGCAGTCATACAGGCCCAGTAAATATGCAGATATTGTACAGAAATGTTCTTTTAGGAATATGGGTGGCAAATGGCAGCCTCTGAAACTGCAGGACTTTTAGCTTGTGTCATTTCCAGATATTATAAACCTTCAAATACTCTCAGGATAGAATAGATGGAATTGATTACCTACAGGATTCTCTCCGACTCTAAGATTCTTTAAATTAGAAGCTAACATTATGGTCCCTGAGAGTATCAAGAAGTCTAAACACTCCTACATTGCATTTGGAAACTCCCACATTTTGTACATTTATTTCGGTGGGTGGGGTTTTAGCATCTCTATACAAATGCAAAGTCTACAGGGAACAAACAGGAAGAACTAAAAATCTTACTGCAGGAAGGTGAATGTGATTTAATAGACATTAGTGAAATGTGGTTGGATGAAACTCAGGACTAGAATGTAAGGATTCAAGGGTATACGTTATTCAAAAGGAAATGGCCAGAGAGAAGGGGAGGAGAATAGCATTATATGTGAAGGAAGAACATGCATTAATGGAGATCCAGGACTTTAAGCATGAGGGTACTGGATAAGAATACAAGGAAGAGGAAACAACAAAGGTATTATTGTGAAGGGCATGCTATAGATAAGCCAGGCAGAAGATATGGATCATGCCTTTCTGGATCAGATTACAGAACTTTCAGGGAAGAGAGGTACAATAATAATGAGAGACTTCAACTATCTGGATATCTGTTGAAAAACCATCCCAGCCAAAATTGCAAGGTCCCCAAATTTCTCATCAGCCTTGGTGACTCCTTCCCCTTTTAAAAGGTCGAACAAGGGGATAGTGTCTCCTAGGTCTGATCCTAACTAACAAGGAAGAACTGATTGAAAAGGTAAAAATAGTGGAGACCTTGTGAGAAAGTGACCACACTATCTCAGCTTTCACGATATTACAGAAAGGGAGATAGTAGCATAATCATCCATGTACACTTGAATTCAGGAGCACCAATTTCAGTGAACTTAGAAAAGTACTAGATAGAAATAATCAGATCAAAGGTCAAAAGATTTAAATGATCTGAAGAGAAGCCAGAGTGCTTCATGGAAGAATAGCCTCTGGTTCTCAAACTATTTCTACAGCAGGTGCAACCTCCCTCCCTTCTAGCATCGTCTCCTTGGAATGCTGGTGTCAGTCTTGAAGCTTCAGAATATCTGCTGCGTTTGTCAGAGCTTTACCTGAGTGCTGGGATTATGTGAAAGGTTTGTGTGTCAAACAAAAGGCATGCTGCCTTAGACCTGCAATTGCCCAGCCAACACACAAGTGTATAAAGGTGGCAGAAGGCAGTGACAGAAGAACCCCCTTAAGAGGAAGGCAGGGAGATAATAATTCACTAAACATACTCCTTTCCTTTTAAAGGAGAAAAGGCTGCAGGTTGCACTTCTCAGCTCACCTGTCAGAGCCCAGTAAGCGGAATACCCTTGTTTCATCAGAGATCTCCTGGGTAACCTGCAAAATAGCAAAAAAAAGGCAGAGAATGTGAAGAAGTAACTGGCAGAGGAGGCAGCATCTTTGCCCATCTGGTAAAGAACAAAGCCAATTCAGACTGCAAATGAGGACAGACCAACAACTTTTAATAATATACACACACACTGTCATTTTTACATCATGTAGTAAACTCTACCAAAGCATTTCTTTGTCAGCTCAGGAAAGTCATATTTGTTTATACAGGAGAAGAGGGTTTTTTACATATAGTGTTGCAGAAATGGAGCGCAACTGTGTTCAGCAAAAGATCAAAACAGTCTTTTGAGAGTTTCCATTCAATTTGGGAAGCTGCCATTCAACAAGATGGCCCACTAACTAACCTAGCTCACTCCTGGCCAACTTTCAGGCAGAAAAGGGTCTCTCCTCTCTTTTAATGTTTTTTCAAATGGAAGATGACAGGGATTAAATCTGGGACCCACGACAAGAAACAGGGCACTCTACTATGGTCTCACTCAAAATTAATCAAGAAAATTAGCCGATGTTTTTAATCCAATAACACGTTCTACCCAAGTTAAACCACTTTGGGGCAATGCAAACATTTGACATTTAGATAGCATTATGCCAAATATTTATATAATCCTGATGAAAATATTGTATGATAGGTCAGTAATATTATTTCTATGCTCCAAATGGGGAGACTGAAGCCAAAGGAGGACCAGCTGGTTAATGACAAAATGGCTGAGCTATGATTTAAAGGAAGAACTCCCAGCCAGTTCAACAGAATACTAAGTGCAGAGGAAACTGTCTTAAATAAGGTCCATGGAATTCAGTGTTAGGTATTCCGAGTAGCAGCAGGAAGCAGTTCCTTTCTTGCATCACAACAGGACACACTCTGCCTAACTCTTTGGTCCTTCCCAAGTACAGACATCTGCTTCTGAGTCAATAAAACTTCTCAGGTACAGGTTAAAAACCACAAGGATGATTATGTTGTTCAGGATTCCTTTATCGGTGGATGGCACCTTCATAACTGAAGGGTAAGGGGGATAACAAAACAATTACCAATAATATCCCTGCCCAAACTTACTTCATCAGACTTAAAACTTTTGCCTTGCATCCCATGTTTCCAGAAGGCCAACACGCTATCCTGAAGGCACACTGAAAGAAGAGATATCATATAAGACTGAGTGATCAGGAATGTTTGGGGATGAGCTTTCTGAGCAAGGGGAAGCAAGGGCTCCCAAGAGATACCAGTTTGTACACAGACTTCATTGTGTTCCTAGCACACGTGAAGGATCCAAATGAAAGGAAGAAGCATGGAAACAGACCTGCAGAAGGGGTGAATCTTGGGTGATGCTTCCAAAGCCAGAGAGATCAAGCCGTGTCAAACTTCCACTGACGGATGATTAACAGACAGAACAAGCACCCAATTTTCTTGCTGGGGCTCATTTTACATTTGCCCCTGCTTAAAGAACATTTTCAAGCAATGGAGCATAGTAAGTGATATGTCACTGATATCACCTCTTATCTCCCTTCAATCAACAAGAAATTATGATCACAAATGATCACACCTTGAATATCAGAGGGATCCTAAAGGTTAGTCAGAAGGAATATTCCCACTATAAAAACTGCAGCACTAAACCTAAAGACTGGTCCTTGGTCAGGAAGGCACAGGTGTTTGAGGATATAGCAGACTTCCTTCCAATGCTTTCATTTCTTCACCTGTGAATCTGTGGTGATCTGTAACTCTGTTTATCATCTGTCATGGCGATGAGTAATGCAGTCTCTACTGGCATTCTGTCTGCAAAACCTCTGAATAGCATCTACAGACTGCCCCCCCCCATTAAATAACTTTCATTATTTAAAAATTTTGGGAGGCCTGCTAAATCTTACATAACTTCAGCATTTTGGACTGAGATCTTATAAAATTTCAAGTAAGAATGCTGAAATCTCACAAATTTCAGGTAAGAACCCATGATGTATCTGTGTATAAGAGCTGAGAATGACATCACAGAAATCTCATGATATTTTAGCCTTTAAAAGTATTTTCAGTGTAACCCTCCCACATATGACACAGCCACTTCAGGCACAATAAATGATGGGGAAAGCACCTGCTCACCTACAGATTCAATGCAGAAATCAAAACTTAGTTCTGAGGCCAACTTCTTGCTTGACTTCAGTTTACCATGCAAATTCACAATCTTCACAAACCCTTGATTGAAAAACAAAGCAAACAATACAATGAAAGAATCTCAGTTTCAGATAGGTTCCAGGCCTGCCTTCAAAAGCAGAGGGAAAGGAGAAGAACTTTATTTCACTTTCTGTTCTAGAGATCAGTCAGCCTCACTCAGTGCAAGGGCAGCCAAAAGCTGGACATATTTTCCAAGAGGCATGGTTTGAATCTTGCTGACATTTAAAAATATTTAAATTCCCTGTTTTAAGATTGTGTTGAATTCAAAGGAGAATAATTATAGAAATTCTTTAGACTCTTTCACTAACTTAAAAAACAAATACTTTATTTTTCCCGCTAAATACAGTGGTACCTCGGGTCACGAACACTTCTGTTCACGACCAATTCGGGTCACGAACAGCACCGTTATATGTCCAGCTTTTGGCTGCCCTTGCACTGAGTGAGGCTGACTGATCTCTAGAACAGAAAGTGATGTTGAATTCAAAGGAGAATAATTATAGAAATTCTTTAGACTCTTTCACTAACTTAAAAAACAAATACTTTATTTTTCCCGCTAAATACAGTGGTACCTCGGGTCACGAACACTTCTGTTCACGACCAATTCGGGTCACGAACAGCACCGTTCGCAAAATTTTGTTTCCGTTCGCGAACTCTGCATCAGGTGACAAACAGGATCTGTGGCCATTTTCCCTGCCGTGACACATGGTCGTGGCTTCCTGTAGGGAGGGAGACTCTCCGTCCAAACAATAACCGCCTCCCCACCCGCCTTCCTGTCCTCCACGCCTCAAGCAAGGTTAGCGTCCTCTCTCCTCATACTG